GCCAGTAGTATTGCGAAAAACGCATTAATGGATGCGATCTCTGGGGTTTCGTTGGCCTGCTTAAATATAAATGCATACAATATATTATTTTCTACTCGAAATTCGCGGACACATTTGTTTACAGTTGTGTAACACTCGGGGCTAACCATCGTTCGTAACAGCCAATCAAAGAGAAAGAGAACGCAGAACTTATTCCTTTTGTTTAATCGCATTGATAACAAATGTCGCGTGATATACATGAGGATTATCTGAAACAGAATAGGTGACTTGCTTCTGGACTGCTTCCTCTCATATTAAATCTTTCGGTCGTTCTGAGCGTTTCTAAGAGAATTAAATGTATGAATGAACGTATGTTTTTCACCGGTCTCCCTTTGCTTTGTCAGATCCACTTCAATTAAATGTATATTTTGTTACTGACGAATTTGAAAATTTCCGAGTAATAAACAACTTTTTTGAGTGCTCACCCAGCCTACTTCTTTACTCACGGCTGGTCATTCTGTTTTGCCTTAACAGAAAACATATTATTAATTTGGGTCACAATTGGGTCAACTAAAGAAAACATATTGTCATAGATTTCTCTCGTTGTTTTTGGGAAGACAGACATCTCATGAAATGTAATTTGAAGGGAATACGTTCTTTGGAAAAACAAGGTAACCTTATTCAGTAAGTTTTCGACGCTGGTTCCCAGGGTTGTCATCAGACTCGAGATCATGTACAAAGAAACATGCAAGTTTCGAGCGTACTGAAAAATCGATAGTCATTTTGTATGAGTGTTTATTAGCAGCTACCGTTTGCGTCAGTTCGTATCGTTTGACTCTCATCTCTGCCATCGTTCCTTGAGGCTTTTTTACAGTATGCTGGTTTGTGCGTGAGTCTTCAGGATTCATGGACTGAAGGAATTCGCAGCCTTTTCGGGGTGGAATTCCAACGTTGTCTGCTGTGTGAGTTCTTGTTCTGTTCTACCCAATAGTTCATGTCAATTGGCATCGCCAATAAGTCCAGGTACAAGAGTAATGCATGCATAAGTTATTATATTACTCATAACAAACAAGTAGCCGTGCATGTTAACTTTTTTCAATTAACCGGCGTCTGCTCATTTTTCCTCTGGGATTTTCTGCTCTACCGATGCATTTCTAAACTGCTGTATTACCAATAATGAGCTCAAAGGCGTTTGCCTATATTTTTCGCACTAAACCTGACACTGCGAGTTTTGTCCTAATTTAATTGTCTGTACTCTAGCGAGGTTGTGCATGGCTACCTGGGACAAGACAAATAAATGGCGAATATTTTTTTAATATTTATATAGAAAAATAGTCACCACGACTCCTTTCTTATATGAGGAATGTGTGTGAATTCTTTGAAAGGCACTTGTGCAAACAAGAAATAAAAGTGACGGACGAACCGATGACTATATCACGCACCCAGATAGGGTTGACTAATTCGAAACGAAAGAAGTCATCTGAAAGATCTTATGCGAAGATTGTGATTATGCATCTTTATTTATTGGTTTCCAGTTTACAGACAAAGTCAAAGGAATTTACAATAGAGGATCGGGCTGACAGGGAAATTCTGCTGATCTTTCTCTCTAGTGCTTTTCTGGAGAAGAAACAGCAGTTCGTTGAATCACATAATTTCTGGACGGATAAGTGGTAGCACAAGTACACGGTGTGGTCAGTCTCTCTTCGGTGTTACGGATCCAGTATTCTGCACCAGGAGACTGTGTGTCGGCGGACGGTTGCTCACTGTCAGATGAAGAGTTAGCCGATTGCGTTCTGCAGATTCAGCGCCATTGCCCTAAACGTGAAGCCTAGGACAGGGTTTAGAATCCGCGAACGCCATCAGAGTGGAGGAGGGATTCCACCGAATTGGCATGCAAAATTTGCGAAGGGTGTCCTGAATGTAATATACTAATGACAGCTCTCCTTAACAAAACGCCTCATCCAAATGTTGTCAAACTTTGGGATAACAGGGTATCTCCTGAACTGGATATAAGATTACCTTGGAGACTGTAGTCAAAACGTTACTGCGGGTGGCTACTGTTCAGAGTTGGCACCTGTCTGAAGTGGTATTCCACAAGGGACAGTTTTTGGGCCACTTCTTTTCATCATCTATGCAGTGACGTCGTGCGAAAAGTTAGATCTGACATGGTACTCTTTGCAGAGTACTGTGGAGAGAGATAAAATACGCAGGGGACTCCCAAGTAGTACAAGAGGATAAAGACCGGCTGCACTCTTGGAGCAACAATTGGTGTTTGAACTTTAAGTCACTTTATTAAGGGAAGAAGGCTTTTGCCCTTGAGCTCCCTA